GTCCCTCCAACGTGTCCTGGGTCTACCTTTAGGTCTTCTCACGGTTGGACGAGCCTGGAAAACCTCACCAGGTAGGCATCCTGACCAGATGCCCGAGCCATCTTAACTGGCTCCTCTCTACGTCAAGGAGCAGCAGGTCTACTCTGAGCCCCTCCCGGATGCCCGATCTTCTCACCCTATCTCTAAGGGAGAGTCCAGCCACCCTGCAGAGAGAACTCATTTCAGCCGCTTGTATCTGCAATCTCGTTCTTTCGGTCTCTACCCAAAGCTCATGACCATAGGTGAGGGTAGGAATGTAGATCGACCGGTAAATCGAGAGCTTCACCTTCTGACTCAGCTCTCTCTTCACCACGGCAGACCGGTACAACGCCCGCATCACTGCAGATGGAGCACCAATCCACCTATCGACCTCACGCTCCATCTTTCCCCCACTCGTGAACAAGACCCCGAGATACTTAAACTCCTTCACTTGGTGCAGGACCTCATCCCTGACCCGGAGAAGGCATTCTACCCTTTTCTGATTCAAGACCATGGTCTCAGGCCTCGTCCACACGTAGCCGGGGTTTTTAAAAAACGAATATCCGCCCCTCCAAAAACTTGCATCCACACCACCGCATTTTAAAAAATAACACTGTCCACACGTACCCGGATAAATACGTTGTTAAGGACATGCCAGACCTGTAGGCGGCAGTACTTCCCCCGTTCTTAACCTCGTCCTTCGTCTGTGGTCTTCCGCAAGGAGCAGTAATTCCGCTTGCAAAAACAAACAAGCAAAAAGCGCTTGGACAAGTGATAAAGCGAGCGCAGCTCTGAGGGCATCCATGATGCCGGCTAGTGTAAACACAGGTCGCACACGTGATGTCACCATTTTTTGTCACGGAAAGTGACGCTGCGGACCTTAAAACTCCGGTTTTGTCTGTCCACAAGCAGACACCCAAAACGGAGAAAACGCAGATCTTCACTTTGGCCGGAGTTTTTAAAAAGATCAGTTTTCGTGTGAAAAAACCTCCGTTTTCGTGTGGATGACAGGCCAAAACGTAGAAAAATATCTACGTTTTGGCAGATCAGGGTGGACAGGGCCTCAGATTTAGAGGAGCTGATTCTCATCCCAGCTGCTTCACACTCGGCTGAGAACCGCTCCAGCGAAAGCTGAAGATCACGTTCTGATGAAGCCAACAGGACCACATCATCTGCAAAAAGCAGAGACCTGATCCTCAGGCCACCAAAACAGATGCCCTCCACACCTTGGCTGCGCCTAGAAATCCTGTCCATAAAGGTTATGAACAGAATCGGTGAGAAAGGGCAGCTGATATAAGATAACCCGTTTTATTTTATAACATAATCCTACAACTGTGTGCTGATCATGAACCTAGATTATCACAAGTTGATTTATTTCAGTAATTTCATTCAAAAAGTGAAACTTGTGTATCAGATTCATTCTGACTGACATACTTCAGATGCTTATTTAATGTTGATTCTAATGGTCCACTAATGAAAATCTGTGTATGTGTGTGTAGGGGTTGGGTGGGGGGAGAGTTGGGGGGGGGGGGGGGGGGGGGGGCTGAGCTGGTCATGAGTCCTGGAGCATCTTAGGAGAACTTATTCTTGTTATTCCTCCTCTAAAACCAAGTTTTAGTTACAAAGTAGATTTTATGTTTCTATTTTATTTAAGTTAAATAAAAAAGGTCTTGTTTTCTTTAAAGAACCCCCCTCCTCCACAAAGATCTCCTGGACCTTGTAGTGAGGACATTAACGAAGCTTCAGCTGAATTTCTAAAGCTCTCTGAACAGACTCAGTTTGGAGAAACAGAGATTTTTGTGTTTATGTCCGCTTAAAGCTGCAACAGCAGCTACAACACTTTTTCATACCTCCTAACGAGGTTCTAGCATTGTTTTGCTGTAAATATGTTGTGAAGATTATAAAAATAAAAACATTGAGGTGTTCACTCGCATTTGTCTAGAACAGGGGTGTCAAACTCGTTTTAGCTCAGGGGCCACATTGAGGAAAATCTAGTCCCAAGTGGGCCGGACCGGTAAATAAAATAAAAAACTTCAGATTGTTTTCTTTGTTTTAATACAATCAATATAAAACAAGGCTGGAGCCTGAGGACAGTGTAGTACAAGTACAACACCTGAAGTGTACTTGAAAATTTGAAGAAAAAAAATCAACTAATTAAAAAAACATTCCTTAGTGATTCAAAGAGCTTACAGATCACATGGCTAGATCAGTTTCATGCAGCACTTAAAGTATATTTGACTCATTTTACTTTACATCTTTTAGCTTTCACCAGCACATCAACATCAGAAGTCACATCCTGAGTGGCGGCCAACTTCAGGATGTGATTCAAGTTCTTGTGTGAGCCTTGAGCGCAGCTTTGTTTTATTTATACTCATTACAGAGAAAACTTGCTCACAAAGATACGTTTATTTTCACTCTACATTGTAAAGTATGAAAATAAAGTTTACACAACCATCTCGCGGGCCGGATTTAACCCGCTTGCGGGCCGGATCCGGCCCGCGGGCCGCATGTTTGACACCCCTGGTCTAGAAGCTCCTCCAACAACACGTTTCAGACCAAAACAACTATCGAACCATCCAGTGGTCTCTCCGAGCCGCAGCACTTCCCTGGTCCTCCACCCATCACACACTCACGTCTATAGCACCAGAACACCACTGGTGTGGGAAGTCCTCCGCTCATAACACCAGAGAAGGAGAAACAACCAGCTGCTACCGCTTCTGCTTCAGGACAAACTAGAGTCCCAAAAAGAAAATCACCGTCTGAAGTGGAAGATGTTTGGACCGGTGTTTAGCAGCATCTCGTTTCGAGATCGCATCGCAGGTTTATGGTTCCAGCAGAAGCGTACCTGAGGGTAGTGTGAGTGATTCATGACCGCGTTTGTGTTTAAAACCTAGCTTGTTCTGCCGATTCCTTGTGTTTAATCAGCTCAAACAGGAAATGAACGCGAGGGGGAACGGAATAACGTTATGTTAACTCGATAACCTGAATCAGAACCAAAGTTCATCTGAAAACCCCTTTCATTACGCAGGAAAACAGAGAAATCGGAAGAGTAAAGGTGTGAATCCGGGCACCAGGAGTGCCTCGGGCTTCATTTCATCTCTGATTGTTCGACGGGTCGAAACTGCAGCTTCACAGCAAGAAGTGAATTAATAAAGTGATTCTCCATGTTTAATGAGCTGTTTGATAATGGATTCCTGAGAACTACGGTCGTTATAGACGTTATGTTCAGAATGATTCCAGTTTTATCGTTGTGGTTCGATGTCTCTTAGCTCTATTATTTCTCAGATCAATAAAATCTGATTAGAATCAGTTTTTCTTCTCCAAAACTTTAAAAGCAAACTCATTAAAATACTGTTATTAGTTCAGAAGATCCAGAATGTTCTGCTGGAGTCAGTTTGGTCCAGTCAGGGTCAGACATGTTTGACTTCTGATGGACAAACGCCTGATTTCTTCTGTTTGAACTCCGGCCCTCTCAGCCGTTCCACAGATGTCAGCACATCGGGACCACTTAGGCAGTTAGTGATGTCACGGATCAGCGCCCGAAAGCGTCTGTGGACATTAAAAGCCTTATTCAGTCGAAGAAACTGAAGGCTGAATCCAGTCGCAGGACCGGGAGAGCTACGGTCCTTTAGGTCGACCACTGATGGAGACACGCACACGCCCCGAGGGTTCAACTGCAGAAACACGCCTAATGGCTCTGAATCGTTGCTTAGGGGCAGCAGAAGGTAGAGCAGGTTGTCCAGTAATTGGAAGGTTGCAGGTTTGATCCCGGCTCCGACCAGACTGCTGCTGTAGTGTCCTTGGGCAAGACACAACCCCCCCCCCCCCCCCCCCCCCCCCCCTTGTTGGTGGTGGTCAGAGGGACCAGTGGCCTTTGTCAGTGTGTCCCAGGGCAGCTGTGGCTACATCAAAGCTCATCCCCACCAGTGTGTGAATGTGTGAATTAATAATTGTGTTGTGAAGCACCTTGGGGGGCTGTAGAGCCCTAAGAAGTAACTTTACAAATACAAACCGTTCACTATTACATTCCATTTCACAGAAGCTGCCCCTCCACACCCTGTTCCTGATTATTATGCTAACGGTACATTTCTAATTAATGTGAATAATTGATGTGAACAACTGTCAGAATCATTTTCGTTATCATCCGTCCATAATCTGTTATCCGGGGTCGGGGCGCGGAGCAGCAGCCTAAGCAGAGAGGCCCAGACTTCCCTCTCCCCAGCCACTTGGGCCAGCTCTTCCGGGGAATCCCAAGGCGTTCCCTGTCCAGGTGAGAGACATAGTCCCTCCAGTGTGTCCTGGGTCTACCTTTAGGTCTCCTCCCGGTTGGACGTGTCCAGAAAACCTCACCAGGGAGGCATCCTAACTGTAAAGAGTAACAGTATTTTATTTAATAACTAACTTATAATGAACCGACTGCTGGCTCCAGCCCCCCCCCGCAACCCTGCATGGACAAGCGGGTTCAGATGGATGGATGTTCCAAATTATTAGGCACAGTGAGCTTGAAAGCTATAACTGTCGTGTTTGCAGCATATTTACTGAAATCAAAGCTATCTGAATCACACTTTTACAACATCTGACCTTTTAAAGGTTTTAACAGGTCATGTTACATATTGACACCTTAGCAGCTTCACAATTCATGCATCCATTGAACTTGTGAGTTTTTGGACAGTTTCTGCTTGAATTTGTTTGCAAGTTGTCAGAATAGCCTCCCAGAGCTGCTGTTTGGATGTAAACGGCCTCCCACCCTCAGATCTTTTGCTTGAGGATGCTCAAAAGGTTCTCAATTCACCATGACTTTCTCTCCTTTACCCCATAGCTGACATTGATGCAGAGGCATTCCTTGCAGCATTAGATGGTGCATTGTTGTGCATGAAGATGATTTTATCACAGAAGGCTTATGGGCAGTGCTGGACTGACCATAGGGCATAGCGGGCAACTGCCCGCTGGGCCGACCCTTTCATCTTTTATGGGCCGGTGTCTGTTTTTTTTTTTTTTTCCTGGCCTCTAGTTGTTGCGGACAACTTGTCCGCGCCGCCCCACGCGACGCCTCGTAAAAGTTGGTGGATTGGCCAATTGGTAATAATACACTCTGGGCTGGACCAATAGCAAGAGGTCTGATGCACCCGCCAGTTGTTTGTGAATCTCAGTAAACAGACAGACGAGCTTAACAACAAAAAACGGAAAGGAGGAGCGGAGAAAATTCGACTAAAAAAGAAACTGGCCCTTCAGGCTGCTGCTGGCACATGTGTTAAAATCTCACAGTTGTTTGGTAGTGAAGGTTCAAGTAAAATCAATTTAGGAAGTGATGGAGCCTCAGCCCAGCGACAGGTTGGAGAAGAAAAGAGGGAGGAGGAGGAGAAACCCGAGCCGGTGTTGTGCCATAAATTGACTCGCTGCCAAAAAATGATTAGCCACCGCGGGATCGCGCACGGTTAGGTAATTGCATTTCTAGACAAAACTCCCCAGGATTTCGCCCTAAAACTCAGCATATCTAGCAATATGGACATTCAGAAAGCAAAGATAACCTCTTCCGGTACTTAAACAGATGTTTATCGCGGATATTAGTGTGGCAGTGTTTGTGGCACCCTGCGCGGGAGCACGAGGACGTGCTTGTGGAAAGAGGGAGGAAGATGTGGCAGTGTGAGCATCCACAATGTCCCGATTGATGATGAGCCCTGGCTACTTGGCCAAGAAGATGTCCCTTTGGCTGACTGGTTAGAGCGTATGACTCTCACCCGGGAGTCTGGGGCTCGAATCCCGCCCGGGCATTCGTTTCTGCACTTTGCCACATTAGTTTTTCCAGTTCGGAAGTTGTTTTAAGTGTTGCTAATTGTCTTAAACGTTCACAATGAGGATGTATTAATCCTTTTTGCAATATTTGCGATTGAAAGATGGTTTGTGCCACAAACTTTGTGGTAAGAACTGGCTTTCTTTATGTTACAGCCTTGATACTAAAAAATACATAAACAATGTAAAATGGCACCCTGTATTGAATGTAAACGTTGTATAAATGGAAATAAACAATTCTCCAGCGATTTAATTTTTTCCCCTTCCTTTCTTTAGTCCACTTGACATGGAGCCACAGTTAACTAGTTTGGGGCACATTTTTACTTGAAAAAAAGTATTTAAAATGATCAAGCTTTGGCTTTACAATGACACTGTGTAGGTTGCTATTCATTACGTTGCTCTATTTAAAAGTAACAAGATAAAAGCACTTCAGCACATAAAATTAAGATTGTCACTTGCCAAATAGACTACACCCTCCCGTTTACCTATAAGAAATGCCTCAAAACATCTTTAAATTCTTTATTGATGATTTAATTGTAGACAACTAAAATGGCATTTTACTTGCCAAAAAGTGATTGAATCGCTAAGATTTTCATGGAGGCTAAAACTGACCAAATAAGGGTTTTATGTATTATCTGTTGATGTTACTGTACTCATACTGCCTACTGTATCATCAAAAACACCCCAAAAATGGCAACAAAAAAAAAAAGAAAAAAAAAGAAAAGAAGATAATTTCCCTTGCCAAAAATTGATTACAGTGTCCTGGTCACCTGTAAAGGGTTACATTTACCTAAATATTACTTTTTTTATTATCTCTTGATGTTATTAGTGCCATCACAGGATGCCGGGTGTCTTTCACATTCATAAACACCTCAAAAATGGCAACAAATGATCATTTCCCTTGCCATAAATTTATTACAGTGTCCTGGTCACGTGTAAAGGGTTAAATTGACCTAAATATTACCTTATTTATTATCTCTTGATGTTATTAGTGCCATCACAGGATGCTGGGTGTCTTCCACATTCATAAACACAGAGTCCTGGTCACCCATAAAGGCTTAAATTGGCATAAATATTACTTCATTTATTATGATGCTGGGTGTGTTCCACAATCATATTTGAATAAACGTGAAAATATTCTGTCCGAATATCTGTTTCTTGTTATAAATATAACAGCTAGAAGGATTTACAGTTAAAATAGGAGAAACACGTGACTCCCCAGGAAGGGTCGTAACACCACTTGCCTCATGCATAAGTGAACAAAACAAAGCAGCATGGAGACACTCCGTCTCCAACCACCTCTCAGGCAGCAGCCTGCACTCCCAAGTTCTACACGTCACCAGAACATAAACAACCGCAACACAATAAAAGCAGTGTTATACAAAATGGAAGGCCTGTAGTGTTTATTCTCTTACAGTAACGACTTATCAATTTTTTGGAGGAATTTATTTGAGAATTTTTTGGTTTTTATTAATTGTGCAATAGAAAAATAATCGCTAGATTAATCATCTAAATAGTCATTAGAATAGTCGACTATTCGATAAAATAATCGTCAGAATAATCATTTTAAAAATAATCAGTTACCCCCAACCCTACTTTTTAGAATACCAGGATAGGAAGGATGGTGTAGGTTTACGTTTATTAGATTGATACATAAATACTACCAATAAGAAAGTGTACGTTGGTGTGTGTCAGAAACAGCGTAAGGCTTAATGTCTTTTCCAAAAAAAAACAGGTGATGGGCCGGTCTCCAGTCAAAATGCCCAGGCTGAATTTTTGTCCCAGTCCAGCCCTGCTTATGGGCCATTCCCATCTGTACCGGGTCGGCCCGGGCCGGGCCGGGTAGCCCCAGTCGGCTCCAGCCTGGCCCGGTTGATTCCACACATCCTTGTCTTAAGCCCATGTGGGCTGATTCTACCCACCAATCAGAGGCTTGCTCTAATGGAAGGTGTGAATTTGCTGTCAGCAGTGGGTGTGTTGGCCCTGGTCGGCCTGAAGCAGACCCCCTCGAGAAGAGGGCTGAGAATGAGCCTTGGTTGCCCCGGAAAAATACCAGGCCACCCAGATATGTAAACAACCTACGCTACCCGGCCCGGGCCGACCCGGTACAGATGGGAATGGCTCAATAGTTATTCCTTCTGTACCAGGGAAGACAGTGGTCAGTCAGAAACTCAGCATGCTTGGGCCGGGTCATCTTCACACCTTCAGGGACCCTAAAGGGGCCGACCAGCTCTCTTCCTGTGATTTTGGCCCAAAACATGACTCCACCACCTCCTAGCTGATGTTGCAGCCTTGTTGTAACACTGTGGTTCACTGGCTGGATCAGTGAAGGACTGAAAATGAGTCTTCGGACATTTCTCTTCCCACTGCAGCTGTTTCTGCTTGGGAAACTGTTTAGCGGGGGCCAAACAGAAGGTTTACACAGTTGCAAGACTCTGGAGGACTCTATGCCTTGATGTCCATGGGACTCTAGATGCACCAGCAGCATCAAATATCTGTTTGCTGCTACCGAACGGCATTTTAGCAGCTGCTCTCTTGATCTGATGCATGGATCTGGCAGAAATCTTCCTCTGTTTGCTTTTGTCTGCACAAACCCGTCTGTGCCCGTCAGCTCTTGATAGAGCAATGATCACGCTTATGTTTTTGTGAAAGGTCTGATGTTGCCATTACTCACCCAAAGCACTGAACTAGCTCATGCTTTTCTGCAGCAGAGAGGTCCTGTTTCTTCCCCAGATTGGTTGCTAACTGTGGTCTTAATGATGTGGAACGTCCTTCTTAAGTAGTTTATCCTTTACCTGGACACACCTGGTGAACTAATTGTCACAGGTAGAGCCCGGAAACACAACGCCACCCATGAGTTTAACCGAAAACCCAAAAATGTCATCTTAGTGACACTTGAATAGAATTAGCTTAATACTTTGGAACAGGGTGAACAAACTGATGTTTCAGGTAGGATTAGCCTCTTTTAGCCTCTTTGGACCTGCGGAGGATCCGTTTTTATGCCCTGAGGGAAACCTCTCTATGCATCAGCCATGACCTCTACGTGTGAACGTCTGAGTCTGTTCATTTAAACACAAAATGGCACAAGAGGTTTTCAGTGAGTCAGCTGTTTTATTCATAACTGTATTGATATGATGAAGGCAGCAAGCTGACCAGAACATCTTCAGGCTTTCAAACACAAACACGTAGTTTTCCGTGTCTCAGAGCAAAAAATGTTTCAAACGTCCACATGCTGTTACGTCTCAGCTCTAGAAAAGTGCTGTGGTTGTGAATGTGACCAGACTCAGAGGAAGAGGAGGGTGAGAGGAGACAACGCTCAACCCCCCCCCCCCCCCCCCCTCAAGTCTAGTTATTGCTAATTGGAAGGGGTCGTCAGGAGACAGGCTCGTAGAAAAAGTAGCTCCAGTTTGTGGTTGTTGAGCCCTGCTGCAGTCTTGCAGGCATTTGACTCAACTCAGGTGCTGCGTTCAGGTGCTTTCAGTTCATCAGGCTTTTAAAGTCTCAGATTGCTCTGTCTCTCTCCTCCGCTGTCTCCACTATCCCTCCTCCTCACTGACACAGATTTCTGTCCAATCAGCAGGTCCAGTTCTGATCACATGGCTGTAGACGACAGTCCCAGGCCTGCAGCCTTGCTCATGCAGGGTAAACCCTGAGCCCCAGATTTAGGAAAATCATGCGCCATCACCCGTCCGTTCTCCCCTTCGAGGCCTGATGGTGCGGCAGCCCCCGCCATCTCGCCAAGGCTGGCGCTCATCATGGCGGCATTGATAAGGTCCTGCAAGGGAGGAGATGTTAAATTTCACAGTAGGTGGAAAAGCTAACTTCCACTCACGACCCCCAGAGAATGGAGGTGTGAGTGAGTGAGTGAGTGACTGGGTGAGTGAGTAAGTGACTGGGTGAGTGAGTAAGTGAGTGACTGGGTGAGTAAGTGGGTGAGCGAGTAAGTGGGTGAGTGAGTGACTGGGTGAGTAAGTGGGTGAGTGAGTGACTGGGTGAGTAAGTGGGTGAGTGACTGGGTGAGTGAGTGACTGGGTAAGTAAGTGGGTGAGCGAGTAAGTGGGTGAGTGAGTGAGTGACTGGGTAAGTAAGTGGGTGAGCGAGTAAGTGGGTGAGTGAGTGAGTGACTGGGTGAGTAAGTGGGTGAGCGAGTAAGTGGGTGAGTGAGTGAGTGACTGGGTGAGTAAGTGGGTGAGTGAGTAAATGGGTGAGTGAGTGAGTGACTGGGTGAGTAAGTGGGTGAGTGAGTAAGTGGGTGAGTGAGTGAGTGAGTGACTGGGTGAGTAAGTGGGTGTGTGAGTAAGTGAGTGAGTGAGTGGGTGAGTAAGTGGGTGAGTGAGTAAATGGGTGAGTGAGTGAGTGAGTGGGTGAGTAAGTGGGTGAGTGAGTAAGTGAGTGAGTGAGTGAGTGGGTGAGTAAGTGGGTGAGTGAGTGAGTAAGTGAGTGAGTGAGTGAGTGAGTGGGGGAATGAGTGAGTGTGTGACGAAGTGGTATGGATGATTTCCCATTCGTCCCTGTAATTTATTTCTCTAGCCTGCTGGCACTGTGATGGGGGATATTTTAACTGAAATGTGAATATTGCACTGGTGTGGATGTAGTTACCACTTGGGATTTCATGTTTGCTTTGTATCCAGAGCAGGTTGTGAGGGGAGGGCCCACCCAGTACTACCTCCCTGGATCATCCTATGACCAATCATTTGGACAAACCAAAGGAAGTGGGATTTGTTTCTTTGGTCTTAGTGTGAAAATGTTTCTTGTATTGTAAAAACAGTTTTGTCTTGTTTATGAGGGTTTATTTTGTATTGTTTATCTTGTTTATATTTACATTTAGGTACATTTATGTGGATGTTTATTTCCTTTTGGATTTAATGATTGGGGCTGATTGTTTGCAGGTGTGATTTTCTGGGGTGTTTAAAGGAAGCCAGGTGGAGGCTTGGGGAGGTTGTTTTTTTTGTTGTGATCTGTAAAAGGAAAGCAGTGAAATAAACGCCTGAGAAGCATTTTGGCTCTCAAGGAAAAATGTCCATGTGCTGCAGTTTGCCTCTACTTCTTTCAACTTGAAGACCTTCTGGCTGCTCTACATTTTCACAGAGTGAGTGAGTGACTGGGTGAGTGAGTGAGTGACTGGGTGAGTGAGTGAGTTGTAAGGACAAGGCGGGGCTGCCACATCAGTACATCAATGGTTAACCTGAGGCGCCTGGCGGCGTCCCTCCCTCCGTGCAGCAGGAGGAGTATCTGACGCTCTTATGACATCATCAGACTGTTTTGAACTGGAGGACAGGTGGAAAATGAAAAAAAAAACACCTAACAGCACAGAAGAAAGCAGGTGTTTAGGTGGAGAGAGTTTTCCCGTCTCAGTGCTCCTTCACTTCGCTCTGGAGGGATCCGCTGGTTGGTAAAAGGGTTAGTGGGTGAATCTCTCACTGCGTCACTTCTCAGTGAAACTAATGGCATGGATCCAGAGTTAATATACTGAATGGAGCCTCGGGGCACCCTCGCTGTTTGCTGCACAGCTTCCACCATCATGCAGACTGGAAACTAAAATATTAACCCTGGAGACCTTCGTTTACCCCACAACCAAACGACAACCGGGAAATTCACTCGATTCTAAAGAATTCCTTTCATTAAACTAGTGAAGAAGGCTTTAAGGCACCAAAGAGATCCAAGAAGTTTCTTCTCTCCAAGAAACCCACCAGGGACAAACTGATGTTCTGCTGAAGGTCCAGGGAGAAGAAGAGCCCTCAGAACAGCCATGATGAAGAATAAACATCTGACCAGAGGAACTCCTCCAACTGTCCATCAACAGTTTGGTTATGAACTATTTCTTCTGCAGCGTGATGGAACACCGGGCCAGAAGGGTAAAGTCAGAACTGAGTGGATCAGTAACAGAATAATGTGTTGGGTTCAGGTCCAGGAGACGCCCCAGACTTTAATCCGTGAGAACTTGTGGTCCATCCTCCAGGTGCATGAGAACAATCATAAACCCAACACTGATGATGAAGAATGAGGTCCATCAGCCAGGATCTGGAGCAGCAGATCAGGGTGAACCACAGAGGTCTAGATCAGCGTTTCCCAACCCTGGTCCTCGGGGACAACCGTCCTGCATGTTGTCCATGTCTCTGCTTCAGCACACCTGGTTAACATCGGCTCCTCAGGAGGACATCAAGCGCTGCAGATGCCTTTTAATCACTCGTTCATTGAAGTCAGGTGTGGCAGCAGGAAACGGTGGTGTTTAAAGGGGCAACATGGAGACCATGCAGGACAGTGGTCCCTGAGGACCAGGGCTGGGTGGGAAACACTCTTCTAGAAGAACCAGCTCTGGAAATGTGGACTCACTGCATAAACTTCATGTCATTACCAAGGAAATTAGATTATGAAGTGCTGTAATTTCCATCAGTAACCATGGAAACCTCTGACAGGAAGATCCAAAGATACCAAAGCAGAAATCTGTTAAACCAGCACTGGAATCAGCTGCTGTAGATGTTTTCTCTGGTGGTATCGGAACCAGTTGTGGTTCAAGCTCCATGACAAGGTGGAGACGAGGATCACGCGGCGGCTGAGGAGCTTCGGCCTTTAGCGTTGTGTAGAAACGTGCCTGCGGGGCTCCTCTCTGCTGCAGGTCAAGTGCAGAGGGAGTCTGTTCTGCATGCTCTTCCATCTGCTCTGAATGATAATCTCCCACATGTTGTCCCCGCCGCCTTCGGGGACACTTTAAGTCCTCCCATTGTGCTCTGATGTTCATCTGATGGGAATAACAAAAGTCCAGCAGAGAGAGGAGATGCTCACTGGCCTCTAATGACTTGTTTGTTCCTTTCTGAGCCACCCATCAAAGCCACAGCGTAAACCAACGCCGTCTGTAACGAGATGACCGCGGTTTCATCACACAGACGGCGGCGGGGAAGAGGAGCGTGAAACGCGAGTGGCAGATGAGCAGAGTTCAGTTGATGTTCTTTGAAACAGGAGTCGTAGTGGGGCTGCTGCCCCGTGGCTGCACACAGCAGCAGCTGATGCACGCGACTAAAAATAAAACCACCCCTGATGCAAAATAAGGTCCATGCCGTCTCCGTTTGGATCAGCTTCAGTAGAAACAGCAAACAGAGCTGAGCCTCTCAGAAGCTGCAGAGCAAACAAAAGTTTCAGGTTTTTACACAATTACTAGAATTGGTCGCTCATTATTTAGGAGTTCAACTGGACTCTTTAACTTAATATTATTTGGAGGAGTTCCATCAGCGAAACCTCTGCTCCTCCTCGTGTGCAGACTAACGGCTCCTGGTCCCTCTGGAGGACACCTGGACAGACCCAGAACCTTCTGGAGGGATCATAAGTCCTCTCTGGTCTGGGAGCATCTTGGGATCCTGTAGGAGGAGCTGGAGAGGAGGTACCAGGTTCTAGTAAGGACCTGGTACCTCCACAACCTGAACTTGGATAAGAGCGTATGGTTGGTGACCGTGATGTCACCAGTTGTTCCTGATGCAAACACACCCCACGCCTTAACCCGTGAGTCTGAAACCTGACATCCCGTCCCAAGTCACACACCTTCATCCTCCTGGACTCGATCCGAGACTTGTAGCAGAACTCGACCAGAGCCACCAGCATGGCCAGGCCCAGCCCACCAATCAGGATATAGAAGACTCCAGCCACGTTGCTCAGACTGAGCGCGCTCGTCTTATCCTGTTAGCACAAAGGGGCGGAGTCAGACCCAACCAGCTGTGGTGCTGACATCATGACTAAATAAATCGTCTGAATCTCACGTTTAGCTGAGCAGACAAGAGGCTGTGAAACGGAAGCAGAACCAAAACGAACCCAAACGTAACTTTAAAGGCCCTGGTGACCCAGTGCTGGCATGCAACCATTCTCTCTCACTCTTTTATTAGTAATTATTAATCATTAAGTCGTGGAACCAGAGAGGGAGGAGCTTCAGGCTGCTCTTCCTGTAGATTCACAAAATATTTAAAATGATGAAAATGAATTTTAACCAGCTTGTTAATGCCACAGGTAACTGAGAGTAGAGGGGATTAGACATCTAAAACTGGACTGATTAAGGGTCAAAGGTCATGAGCCTCTGAGGACATTGAACCTTCTGCCTGAATGAAAGAGGGTGAACCCTTACATGAACCTAATATTTAAACTAGGTGGTAATTTAGGTTAGTTTTTCTTCTTCTTGATTTATTTTCTTTGTTCAGATTATTCGTCTGATTTTGTATCTTTAAATATTCCAACATGGATTACAGGCTCCTCCTCCCTCACTGGGTAACAATCCGCAGCGCTGAAAACATTCCCAGGTTCTTCCGTTTGGCTGATGATGAAACTTTAGGTGAGTTTTAGGATTTCAGGAAACATTTCCTCCTCTCTAACCAAACACACTTAAATGTTTTTGACCCTGCAGAGAAAAAATGCTGGTTTCTGCCTCCGATCACAGCCGGGATGAGTTTCACTGGAACATGCAAACCCATGCAGGAAGGAAATCAAACACAAGAAACGATCTTTAAGTAAAACTTTTCTCTGACCTCAAAAAGCTGTGATTGAAATGTAATCTGGCTTATGGTTTCTTTTATTTAAAAATGTGTGTGTGTGTGTGCGCGCGCGCTAAACATTTGCTTCTCTACAATCTCTTGATTTTGGCTTCAAGGACATCAGGAATAACCGGATCTTTTCAGGAATGTTCTGATGAGCTTCCATCTCCAACCTGTTATGCAGTCAGTCAGCTTCCCAACAGGTAAGTTAAGATTTCTGTCATTTATCTCCAAACTTTTAGCTATTTGCTTCATTTTCTGCAAAAAACGAAGCAAATTAGTGAAGTTAAATATAAAAATGGAAAGATACAGAAATTCAGCTGTTGACCAACGGGTCTGTCTCCTTCAGAGACCCGAGAATTGGTTCTGGTCCACTTTTTATTCCACCGTTAATCTTTGATCAGTAGGTTCTCAGATTCCCATCCATCCATCCATCCACCCACCATCCATCCTGTAACGTGATGAAGGAGCCATTTCTATCCTCTAACAACTGTTAGATAACAGACCAAACAACTCTTCTTCTGTGTTTTGATGTGGTGTTACTCTTGGTATTATAGTGGCCAAAATGAGTATTTCTAGTATTAAATGTATCAATAAATATTTTAGTTTTTCAAAAACAGTTAATTTTATTATAATGTCATAATTGTTATAAACCAAGAACTCCTACATTTAATAACACATTCTCTTTCATATACAAATCTGTGAATTTTCTCTGCTGGAGGATAAACTCATCGTTAAATCAATCCTGTTTAAGCTGGAATTTCTCAAAGGAAACTTTTATTTGATAGAAGATCCTCTGTGGCTCCAAACTGATGTGAAGTGGAGGAGGAAGCAGCAGCTTTAGTCTGACTGTGACGCGCCGCCTCAACAGACTGTTGAACATATCCCGGTTAGTCACACTCAGTTAGTCAGCGAGTTGGGAGGAAACAGGAGGTGCATGACAGATTGGAGACAAAAACATCAGCGAGTATTTCAGGGAAGGAAGAGGAAGAGATGCTTGGGTCAGAAGATTTAATTTTATCTGTACTGGAAAGCAGCCATAAACAAGAAGGTCAGAGGGGGTGAAAGAGTTTCAGTTGGAGGAAGTCTGACTTTCATTAATATATTATTACTTTGATCTGCAGCTTTTCTTCCAGGCCAGATTTTATTTGTTGACAGCTTAGGTGACTAAACATCCCCAGAAAATGTGTCTGTTTAAAATTCTCAGGACAGTTTTCTGCCACCAGGAAAAAAGATGAATTATTCACATTAATGTTGCCCTAAAAGCAGCTGGGATTTGGGTTTCTCAGCCCGCCTGTGATCGACCCAGAAGAAACGCTCAGAGCGGATGGCTTCCATCATCTGATTCATCTTTCCTCATCAGATAGCAGGAGCGTAGCTTTGAAGCCGGTTTCATGCGAAATAAAAAGTTTGTGTGGGTTTCCTTAGTAACCAGAATCCGTAAACTTTTTTACTTCCTGTTCTTCAGAACGATCAGCTGAGCAGCAAATGCTTCCTCCTATAAGTTCTTTAAATTTACCGAAGAGCTTTAGATCCACGCCAGAGTCATACTAAATCATATTATTGTATTTTAGTGATACGAGATGTCCACAGAGGAACTTCCTTTAATCTTTCACAATAAGAGTGTCAAACGTGCAGACGCACAAAACAATATCACCTCGTAACTGTAAACTATGAAATCCATGGAGACGTTTGTAAACTAGCTCACATTAATGGAGCTCTCGCTGCAGTGGGAGATGACGGACAACCAAAACAAAACCAACAACAACGCCGCCTTTCCAGGTTTCCCTACTTTTTCAGCACTTTACTCTAGAACTTTGATCGTTGAGGAAAGCTGAAGAAAGCCAAACCAAGTGGCAGGACCATTTTTTGGAGAATCTTTAGCCAAACTGACACTGTCCTTTCTCTGTTGTGATGCGTCATTACCAGGAACGTGCGGAGGGTTAACGAGAAAAGAGACTTATCAGGAATGCAGATGAGGCCTTTACCTCCACCAACACGTTTCCATGTCAGATTCCTTTATGTCAAACTGACAGAAACAATCCATAGAACAGCAAAATGTACCTGTGTGTGTGGGGGTGGGGGGTAAACCAACACATGAATGAGGAACAGACCGAGAATCTTCAGGAACTGACCTTTCTGCCGGAGTCCTTGTGTCCACACTCCCCCTTGTCATACCACCACTTGTTTTTCAACTTGTCTAAGATGGCTTGTTCATTGAGCTTCAGTACAGCTAGGTTTACTGGAATTCTTCAAAGGAGGGGTCGGGGTGGGGGTTGGAAATAACATAAATAACATTATGCACCTCCATGTTATCTTATGTTATTGATCAGCTGCCATGGCAGCGGTGGTGGCAGAAACCATCTCAGCAGAGTTAGCATTAGCAGTACAAACGTGAGCTACGAGGAACACCTCAACGACAACAGAAAGAAAGAAAGAAAGAAAGAAAGAAAGAAAGAAAGAAAGAAAGAAAGAAACAAAGAAACAAAGAAAGAAAGAAAGAAAGAAAGAAACAAACAAAGAAACAGAAACAACAGAGAACATGTCAGCTTTAAAGTGATATGCGTTAATACTCCATCTAGCTTGGTCTGGCCTAACTCCCTACGCGCGAGATGTGTATTACTATATCACTTTGGGTAACCGGCATGAGCGGGGGACGCTCCAGGATCGTTGGTCCAATAACGAGCTGGATCAAATCTGCCCGGAAACAAGGAGTCATCTGGTCAAAGGGGTAGTTGACCCAATCAGACTGGTTTGGGCACTTAACCCAGTTATACTAGTATGGGTAGTAATGTCAGTTATACTAGTTTGGGTAGTTAATCCAGTCAGACTAGTTTGGGTAGATATGTCAGTTACACTAGTTTGGGTATTTAACCCAGTTATACTAGTATGAGTAGTAATTTCAGTTATACCAGTTTGGGTAGTTAATCCAGTTATACTAGTATGGGTAGTTATGTCAGTTATACTAGTTTGGTTAGTTAATCCAGTGAGACTAGTTAGGATACTTAACCCAGTTGTACTAGTATGGGTAGTTACGTAAATGTGCTATAGAAATAAATTGGACCTTTTCTAACTGAATCTGACTGTTTATTTTGTCATTTAAATGTTTACCTTTTATGCATTTGTTGTTTTTGTTTGAAATGTTTTGACCTTTTCCTGATTTTTTGAATTCTTTGTCTGCAGAGCCGCTCACTCACCCTAAAATGGTCTTTGAGTCCTGGAGGTAAACCAGTATTAGTTTAGAAATACCCCGTGGATCAGACATCTACTCTGATTTAGCTCCTGGAGCGTCTGGTTGGATATAAATCTGCTGGTTGATGCCGGTTACCCGATGTACCGTGGTTACCCGGGTCGGTACCCGTCAGGGTTACGGTGATCTGACCTTGGAGTCCCCTCCCCCGATGCCGCACTCTCCCTTGTCATACCACCATCTGTTTTTCAATTTGTCCAACAGGCCCTGCTCGTTCAGTTTTAACACTGCCAAGTTTACTGGGTTTCTATGGAGACGATAGCAACAGTAGGTGTTAATGAAGACGTGACATCGTTAACGCGAGTTCTTGAGACAGACATGATGTTAGTTGTGGCAAATCAAAATGAATGGTGCACCTTCACCGTTCTGCAGACCCAAATTCTGATAGCTCCTCTGGCGTTTGAAGTTCTGCACATCATGTTTGGCCCAACTTCCTACATCCCACAATGTCTGAGTGACACCAACAACAGGTATTGATTTGTGGACAATTTAGCAATGGACCTTATCTTAAGATCACCCTAACTCTTGGTGTTGTGGATCCACCCAGGTGTTGTAAACGTTCCTCAGAGGTTCTGGTCCAGCAGCTCCATCCATGATGAGAAGCTCCCATTCCACCACACCCCAAAGGTTCTGGACAGGACTGAGATTTGGTGACTTTGGAGGCCATTGGAGTCCAGCGGACTCATGGTCATGTGAGAGAGGATCTGAGCTTTGTGACATGATGCATGATCCTGCTGGAGGTAGCATCAGAAGATGGTCCATGTGGTCTTAGAGGGACATAGTCAGCAACAAAACCAGGTAGGCTGTTGTGTTTCAACCAGGCTAAGGTGGTGCTGAGGGGTCCAGAGTGGGACAAGAAAACCCTCCTCCGCCTGAAGCATTGGCAAGATGGATTCATGCTGAGCAAGGAGGTAGAGCAGGTCATCCAGTAATCAGAAGGTTGTAGGTTTGGTCCCAGCTCCCACCAGAGAATTCTGCTGTTGTGTCATTGAGCAAGACACTTAACCCGCGTTGCCTGCTGGTGGAGGTCTGAGGGATGGGTGGCACCAGTGTTCAGCTGCCTCGCCTGTCTGCGTGGCCCAGGCCAGCTGTAGCTACATCGTAGCTCATCCCCACCAGCGTGTGAATGTGTGAATGACTGATTGTGTTGTGAAGTGCCTTGGGGGGCTGTAGAACCCTAAGAACGTACTATACAAACACAGGCCATTACCATTTGATCTTGGTGACACCAGGTTCTGACCAGACAGCTGAAGTCCAGACTCATCTGGTCCAATTCTGGTGGTCCTGTGTGCATCATAGCCTCAGGTTCCTGTTCTTAGCTGACAGGAGGGTCACCCGCTGCGGTCTTCTGCTGCTGGAGTCCATCTGGAACAGCTGGTGAGGTTTCTGGAGACCTTGTTTGGACTAGTCTGACCTCTGACCCTGGAGATGGTAGTGGGTTCAAGTCCCAGCAGATCAGACCAGTCTGGTACAGACAACCAAACTACAGTCAAAGTCCCTGAAATCTACTTTCTTCTCTGCTTGAAGCTCAGCAGGTCATTTTAGGGACTGAATGCTGCCCTCTGATTGGCTGATCAGATATTTGTGTTGATAAACACCATCTGGGTCATTTAGTTGTCCTTGAACTAGTTTCTGACCTGGTTTGGTTTAAGTTCAACACTCCAAAGCTCTTCATGATGTGCAGACATTCAAAACATCTAACTGGTTTAAACTGGTTTTAACATCCCGTAACCAGCCAGTAATCCAGGAGGAACAACAGTTTTCATGGATTAGGTTAGCGGCTGACGAACACCACCACACACAGGAAGTGAACAAACTGTTGTTCCTCACAGCAGAGATGACTCGGCAGGTTTCATGTCTGAGTCAGCACCGGTTCCTTAGATGAAGGAAGAGTTTTGTTCCAAACACCTTGTTAAAGTTACTAAACTACTCTGGATTATCTGATCTGAAGTTGTATTTTCTTTACTTTGAATAAATTAATGATCTAATTTCCTTTAGAACAAAACTCAGAGAAAGCAGAGAGATGATGATGGAGAACATCCGACAGGTTCTAAACAGATAAAATAATAATCTGGTCCCAAGTGATACGGACTCCGAGGAGCCGTCTCGGTCAAACAGAAAGGTGGGACCTCCACCAGAGTCTCTCATTAGCTCCTCCCTCCTTAACGCTAGGTCAGTGAGCTAGCATTAACGAGCAATCTCATTAACGACGCTCCTGGTGGCGCGAGCGCTCGGTACGTTCAAGGTGAGCTCCAGCACCTGCAGCGAGTCACTCAGAGCTGCTCGTTTACGCTCGCCATCGTCGTTTATTCATTCTGTGTTTTTCTGTATTTTCAGAATGTTTTTGGGTCGATGTTCCTCTTATTTCTGCGACCCGCTGAGAACCAGATGATTATGATACTGACACATAAAACAGGAGACGTCCTCCACGCAGAGACGCTGCTTCCGATGAATAAAGTTCATCAAAAAAACGCTCAGCAGTCAAGCGCTTTAACACCAGTTGCGTTGCCTAGCAACTGATCACTAAATGTGTTTCCCTTCTCTTTCCATCAAACACAGTGAGTGACTTTGACTCTTCGGCAACAGATTTGTGTGTTTTAGAGGAATCTGCAGTTTCCCATCAGAACGTCTCTCTGTGAAGCGTTTCTGAAAACGCTGACGCGAAGCAGAACCACGACAGCCACAGACATCAGATAGCAACATCAAACGAGCTCTTTCGCCTTTGATGTAGAAAAAAACACACAAAGAAGGAAAAAGGTTGAGATGCTGCTGTCAGGTAAAAAGCAGGCGGTCTGATCTGCGGGAGGAACGTTCTGCATCAGAACAGGACGGTTCTACGGCGGCACAGCAGGGCCAATCGGAACAAGTATTCAAAGTTGTAGTCAACATGTGTAACAGAGCAGTTTATGGGTCCTTTTCGTGCTCTAAAGGGTTCTGACCCATTCTCCTGGGGTTCTGTTTCATTTCACAGACACAAGAAAACAAACAAGTTTGTTCTTTTAGCTTCACCTGACGGCAGCAGCGAGACGGGCGTCGCACAGAACAGGAGACGGGTCAAGCAGACAGACAGTCTGACAGACATGTGGACAGAGACAAAAGAAAGAGGCAAGACACACAGAATAAGAGACAAACAGTCAGACAGAAACAAACAGCCGTACCCGCCCAAACGGACCCAAATCCCATCATGTGGTTTAGAGAACTCTGACTGAAGCAGCTCTGAGGCGAAGAGTCGCATCGTTGGGATTAAACCAGAAACACGGAGATGCTTCACCAGATCAAACAACGTTTACAGAAACTCTAAGATAGCTACATATTTTTGTTTACTGTGTTTGTTGGTGCCATTTAAAATAATCTGTCATTTATTCTGTAAAGGAACACAGTTCCTAGAATAAACTTTATTGATCCCACAGCAGGACATTCACTGGTTACAGCAGCACCAACACTTAGAGAACAACTTGAAGAAAAATAATAGCAAAGGTATGTGTATTTATACACGTAGGCAGTAATCTAGTATTGTAACCTTCGACCGCTAAAAACCACAAATAAAAAAATAACTCCTCTGATTTGTCACCTCCATAAACAACGGATCTTCTCCACATATAAGCAGTCGACTCCAAAACTCGTCAGTATAAATGACGATGATGGACTTCTGAAGGAGGTTTCTCTCATATCTTCTGACCACTTTCCACACTCTGCTGCTTTCTCCTGCAGCTTCTCTCTAATTGCATCATTTCCTGTTATTTCAGCTGTTAACTTTATTTTCTCCTCAGAAGCTGCAACGGTTTTCTGCTGAGCTGTGGTAGCCTCATGGCCTTTGGCTGTGTGTGTGTGTGGGTGTGTGTGTGTGTATGTACGTGCGTGCGTGTGTGTGTGTGAGGACATTTTGCTGGTCTTTCTTTTGCTCATTATAAATATATTTGTAATCATTTTCTAAATTCTTTTTTATATTTTTACATTTTTTGTTTTTGTGAAGCGCCTCGTGATTTTTATCTTGAGAGGCGCTATAGAAATTATATTTTCTTCTTCTTCTTACTTTGGTACTACGTTACTGAGCTCTACTTGTTAGTTTTAGAGGTTGGAATACAAATCACGTTTATTACTCTAACGCCAAATCACGGCAGCAGTGATTTCAAGGCTCTTCACACAGTAAACACTGCGCTGCATGCAATGAACTGATGTGTTTATGAAGTAAAGTGCTTCGACACGACTTGATTTGGCACTACATGAATAAAAAAATATTATATTACATTAATGTAATACCGCTGATGTAATTATCATGGATGCTGTTGTTCTGACTGCAGAGGGCGCTATAGAGCTGCTTCAATCAGATGATTAATAATAATTATAATTTTGGCTTTTCAGTGGTGTTTCATGTTGGGGATGGATATAAAGTGAATCTCTTTTTAAAAGGATCCAAACTTCAGTTAATGTTTTTTTCCCCACAAACAACAGAGACAAACAACAACAACAGTGAGTCACACTGGCACTCTACTCAGACACTCAAGAGTTTACCTGAGGGGAGATCCTTTAGGCGTGGCCACTCCGTAGCCTTTAGAGTCCAGGTTTCCTCCAACCTTCATGGTATCACAGGGCTTCCTCTGCTCAATGTACTCATTCATGGAAGATTCCAGCAGGTAGGCATATTTGCCCTTTGACTTCCTCACACGTATCACCCCCTCATTGGTGCTCTTCACAAACACAGACGGCTCTGCGCTCCGCATGTACGACCACATTTTCTCAAACACAGCGATCTTTGACCTCTGGAGTAAGAAGGAAGAGCAAAGTCAGTCTGAAGTAATACATCAAAGCATCATTAATGAGGGTTTTCCAGATGGTTTCTTATACTAAGCTCAATATATTAAAGATATATTAAAGAAGAGTCGTCACAAAAACTCACAAGAGCGTTGAAATTGTGGAGTTCCTCAGGGCTCTGTGTTAGTGAGATTTATCTTTACTGAAAAAGGTCCAGATTTTAGTAAATCAGCAAAATTAATCAATTAGTTGAAGATTTTGGTTTACTTCTTGGTGTCTTTGCAAGGAAAATCCACCAGAATAAATGATAAATGATCCGCACTTGTATAGCGCCTCTCAGAGTAAGAACTCCAAAGAGCTTTACACTACAGTGTATCATTCATCCTTTCACACACTGATGGGGATTAGCTACGATGTTGCCACAGCTGCCCTGGGGCGCGCTGACAGAGGCGAGGCTGCCGGTGCCACCGGTCCCTCTGACCACCACCAGCAGGCAAGGTGGGTTAAGTGTCTTGCCCAAGGACACAACAGCAGAATTCTCTGTCCGGACCCGGGATCGAACCTGCAACCTTCCGATTACAGGACAACCCGCTCAATAAAATAAAAACACAAACACTGACTTGTGGGTTGATGTGATTGTTTGAGGTCAAACAATCTTTGTGGGTCAGGTAAAAAATAAATAAATAAATAAATAAACACTAATGAGGCTTTCCTAGTGGTTTTTGTACTTCATCTTAGCATCAAATCTGAGTTTGATGTATCTTTATCTGTTCCTTTACTATCCTTTATCACTGCTTACATCTCTAAGACTTTCAAAGTAACCAAAATAATCTCTTGTTCCAAGCAGATCATTGAGTCAATAGCTACATTTACCTCACTTTTGCCTATAAGAAGAGTCCTCACATTCACATACCGTCAACAAACAACCAGCCTGTTCTATCTGTGGTGTCCCTCAAGGCTCTGTCATAGTTAAAGATGGGTTTTTTTACATTGTGCTGCCTTTTGTTTTTTTTTATTTTAAATTATTGTGTGAACTAATTTAACAAACATAAGTAGCTCATGCATACATTCTTTATTATAAATAAATTATTTTTATAATGCTCAAAATCAGAAAATATTACAGAGTAAACAGGTGTTTGTTCTTGAGACTCAGGCTCATCTGAGAATCCAAACCTTTTTAAAGACATAAAGCTTTATTTGCTGTTAGCAAACTGATCCAAATCCAGGGTTTTCTCCAGAAAACTAGATAAGCCTGGTGGGCCGGGCCATGAGAGCAGGGGGAGGAGCGCTGGGGGAAACCCTGCACATCTGAAGACCTTTAAATGATGGAAACCACTGTTCAAATGTAAAAGTGTGAGCTCACCCTGAAGAACTCTTTGGTGGACCCTCCATCCAGCGTGCCATAGGCGATCTCAGTCTGCTTGGCCAGGTCTTCTGCACTCTCTATGGGGGACACCATCCTCTCCACGGTGAGGAAGGCTGCCAGGTTGGCTGTGTAGGATGAGATGATGATGAGGGTGAAAAACCACCAAACTCCTCCGACGATTCGACCTGAGAGCGACCTGATGAGAAGGAAGGAGAAGAAGAGTTCAGAAAACATCAGTTGCATATTACATCATTTACCTGACTTTCAACAACAGTTTATAACCAAGGGAATCAGGAACAAGCAGAGTTCGTCAGTCTGACATCTTCATGACGTTTGTCACATTTAACGCGTTTCCACGCACATCAGTAAACCGAAGCATTGCCCTAAAAAGACTCACGTCGGTTTTTTTACTGCCTGTAAACATGTTGGGTGACGGTGGCACAGGAGTTAAGTGCTCGCCCGGTAATCAGAAGGTTGCAGGTTTGAGCCCCGCTCAGTCTGTTGCTGTCGTTGTGCCCTTGGGCAAGACACTTAACCCCCTTACCTGCTGGTGGTGGTCGGAGGGACCGGTGGCGCCAGTGCTCGGCAGCCTCGCCTCTGTCAGGGCGCCCCAGGGCAGCTGTGGCTACATCATAGCTCATCACCACCAGTGTGTGAATGGATGAATGACTGATTGTGTTGTAAAGTGCCTTGGGGGTTCCAGGACTCTAGAAGGCGCTATATCAAATAGGCCATTTACCATGTTAGTCTGGCTGAAGGTGAACTGGTCCTAATCGAGCTGAAACACCCAGATAATGCAGTAACAATTTGATTACATTCAGCATGTAAACCAGTCAGCCAACTAACCGGTAAGATGGGTTGAGCGGTCTTCTGACAAGACCATTGTCCCAAAACCACACGCTCAACACCGTATAACAGAACAGTGCGTATGCTGTGGTCAGAGTTGTTGTACATCCCTTCAGCCACTGTGAACATCCTGTTTCAATCTGCTTCTCTCCTACCAGCCTCTGTTTACCGCTACGGGGTGGTTCTGATATAGTTAGCCCTGCGCTAACAAAGTAGCTTCGGCTATCTATGGGCTTTTCAACAGCGCGGAGCCGTGCCTCCAGTTCCGACACCTTCGCCTCCAAAGCTACAAAAATGCTTCATTTATTACACGTACCATTATCACTAAAGGAGGCAGAGGAGTAACTAAACCTCTGAAACAGAGAGCAAGAGCTAGGAGAAATAGAAGCAGAGACAGAAGTAGCCATAGCTGTGCTGAGGCTAAGCTAACTGGACGAGCAACACTTTCAACACCAAATAAACTGCGTGTGAACTCAAATGGTTCCCTAAAAACTAGGTGGAACAACGGAAAATGTGTGTTTTAGTGGGCTTATGTGCTACAATAACTCAGAAATGTCCCAGTACAGAGAAATTTAATCAGTTTTAGCGAGCCACAAACACCGAACAGCTACACTGAGTGCACCACTGAAAACAGGAAGTGACAGTACAGGCATTTGGACTCTTTCTTCTTGATGAAACAGCCATAAATAAAACATTAAACACACATGTAGCATGATGAAACCGACAGAGCATAACAGGAAGAGCCTCAGGCCCAAACGTTGCTGTAACATACTACAAACCAGGCAGCGTGTCACACAGAATCACACGTTTCCTGATAACATGTGAGTCTACATGAAAAAGGCCTGTTTATATCAGAGATGGTGGGTCTGGGGTCATAAAGGAGCTCAGAGGTTGTACGTCTCTCAGGACAAAACATCAGTAAAGACAGGAGCGAGGAAACAATCAAGAAGAAGAAAATATCTCACAGGCGTTCTCCACACTGTGATCCATCCGTCCATTTTTGCCCACTTATTCGGGTCGGGTCGCGCGGACAGTGGCCTAAGCAGAGATGTCTTGACTTCCCTTTCCCGTGCGGGTTGGAATGTAGAACAACCGGTAAATCGAGAGCTTCACCTTCTGGCACAGCTCTCTCTTCACCACGACAGACCGGTATAATGCCCGCATCACTGCAGATGCAGCACCAATCCACCTGTCGATCTCACGCTCATCCTTCCCTCACTTCTGAACAAGACCCTGAGATACTTAAATTCGTCCACTTGAGGCAGGACCTCATCCCTGACCTGAAGAAGACATTCAACCCTTTTCTGACTCAGGACCATGATCTCCGATTTAGAGGAGCTGATTCTCATCTCAGCTGCTTCACACTTGGCTGTGAACCGCTCCAATGAGAGCTGGAGATCACGTTCTGATTAGGCCAACAGGATCACATCATCTGCAAAAAGCAGAGACCTGATCCTCAGGTCACCAAAACGGATGCCCTCCACACCTTGGCTGCACCTAGAAATCCTGTCCATAAAGGTTATGAACAATCGGTGACAAAGGGCAGCCTTGGCGGAGTCCAACTCTCACTGGGAATGAGCCCAACTTACTGCCGGCAATGCAGATCAAGCTCTGACACCGGTCATACAGGGGCCTAACAGCCCGTATCAGAGGGCCTGGTACCCCATACTCCCGGAGTACCCCCCAAGGGATGCGGTCAGACGCCTTCTCCAAATCCACAAAACACATGTAGACTGGTTGGGTGAACTCTCGCACACCCTCCAGGACCCATACAGTGATGTCGTACGAAAGGTTTTGATGTGGCTGATAAAAATCAATGATGCATCCTGACCTGGGGGAGATGTCGCAGCCCTGCTGCATGAAGGCTCCGAGAGAAAACCAGAGAGAGTTGAAGATCCCAAAGTCATTGGTGTGTTCTGGAGTCTCCTTATCCTTCTGCTGGTTCTGAGCCTGGGAGAACTCTGATACAACAAAACAAAGTGAGAACGTCAGATTGTGACGATGGTGATGTGATGATGATGATGATGAAGGTGATGATGGTGATGGTTATGTGATGATGAAGGTGATGATGATGATAATGGTGATGATGATGGTGATGATGATGATGGTGATGTGATGATGAAGATGATGATAATGGTGATCATGATGGTGATGGTGATGATGATGATGGTGATGAAGATGGTGATGATGATGATGATGATGATGGTGATGAAGGTGATAATGATGATGATCATGATGATGGTGATGGTGATGACGATGATGAAGGTGATAATGATGATGATGGTGATGATGATGAAGGTGATGAAGGTGATAATGGTGATGATGATGATGATGGTGATGAAGGTGATGATGATGATGATGATGATGAAGGTGATAATGATGATGATGGTGATGAAGGTGATAATGGTGATGATGACGATGATGATGATGGTGGTGATAATGGTGATGATGATGATGATGATGGCGATGATGATGATGGTGATGAAGGTGATAATGATGGTAATGAAGGTGATAATGGTGATGATGATGATGATGGTGTTGGTGATGATGATGATGGTGATGAAGGTGATAATGATGATGATGGTGATGAAGGTGATCATGGTGATGATGATGATGGTGATGATGATGATGATGGTGATGAAGGTGATAACGGTGATGGTGATGAAGGTGATAATGATGATGATGGTGATGAAGGTGATCATGGTGATGATGATGATGGTGATGGTGATGATGATGATGATGGTGATGAAGGTGATGATGATGATGATGATGGTGATGAAGGTGATCATGGTGATGATGATGATGGTGATGGTGATGATGATGATGATGATGATGAAGGTGATCATGGTGATGATGATGAGAAGGTGATGATAATGGTCATGATGATGATTATGGTGATGACGATGATGATGGTGATGAAGGTGATAATGGTGATGATGATGGTGATGAAGGTGATAATGGTGATGATGATGATGATGATGATGCTGATGGTGATGAAGGTGATAATGGTGATGATGATGGTGATGATGATGATGGTGATGATAGTGATAATGGTGATGATGATGTGATGAAGGTGATAATGGTGATGATGATGAGAAGGTGATGATGATGGTGATGATGATGATGGTGATGATAGTGATAATGGTGATGATGATGTGATGAAGGTGATAATGGTGATGATGATGAGAAGGTGATGGTAATGGTCATGATGGTGATGATTGTTATGGTGGTGATGTGATGATGATGATGATGATGATAACGGTGACGATGATGCTGATACCTGGAGAGTGAAGTGCTTCTGAAGATGAAGTGGGCGGAGCTCGTCGAGAAGCAGAATATACACCAGCTTCATCTTCATCATCAGAATCTTCACTCTGCCACTCGTAGGGGCTAAAGCGACTTACCTTTAAGACACGTTAAAGATGTTTATTTACTGGTTGTTAGTGCATCCATCCATCCATCCATCCATCCATCCATCCATTCAACCATCCATCCATCCATCCATCCATCCATCCATCCATCCATCCATTCACCCATCCATCCATCCATCCATCCACCCACCCATTCACCCACCCACCCAACCATTCATCCATACTCTAACTCCCAGCCCCACAGATCACACCAGGAAGAGCACCACGCTGACTCCGATGTAGGCGAACACGATGCACATCCAGATCTCGTAGGCCAACGGGTCGAGGAAGGAGAAGACACCTGGTTTGGACTTGGTAGGTTTTTTGATCATGATGGATATTCCCAGAGACATGAAGGGTTTGGTGAAGTCGATCACCTCCTCTCGGGCCAACGTGATGGTCAGCGGAGCTACAGCCATGTCGGCCTTCTGCAGGGGGCGGAGACACAAGATGTCACTCAAACACTTTTAGGAATCCTCATAAAACAGTAAACGGCCTGTATTTGATTCAATTCAATTCAATTCAAAAATACTTTATTAATCCCAGAGGGAAATTGATATAGTGCCTTCTAAGGTTCTACGACCCCCCAAGGTGCTTTACAACACAAATAGTCATCCATTCACTCACACAGTGGTGGTGATAAACTACAAAGTGGCCACAGCTGGCCTGGGGCTTGCTGAGAGGGTTAGGGTTAGGGTTAAGGTTAGACTAGGGTGAGGGTGGGATTCTGAGCACGTTCTTGATCTGGATCTACTCATCTACAGCAGACGGTCGTGTTTACATCTTTCAGGTACTAAATCTGGGGTTTAAAAGAGGTAAAAGAAAACAATCTAACCCTTGGCCTGCAGACAGGCTAACCACTCACCCCATGAACCAGCTCTCCCACCATGCCGTTCCACATCTTGGTATCTGGGTCACGGGCGCCGTACTTGCCGTCACCCACCAGCTCAAGCTGGTAGGTGAAGCCGACGTGTTTAGCGATCTCAGAGGCGAGTTCGGCGCAGTAACCTTCATATCGGTCGTTTCCCACAAACTGATTTGCGTTCTTCTTCAGCATCATGTAGGGAGCTTCCTGTGAGGAAGAAGAATAGATGATAGAAGATCATCTTTGGTCCATCTTCAGTTGCATCATGGTGCACTCATGTCATAATGCTGATGCACTTCCTTCAAGTTTAGTCACATATGTTCAGGTAGCACTTTGCTATTCGAGCCACTCAAGGACATCCTTGGTGTTTTTCTGTATCTGAATCATGATTTTAACAGAGTCGTGTGGTCCCACTCCTACCAGTATGGTGGTGACGATGTAGGTTCTGTTCAGTAGGCCAACGAAGTCCTGCAGCCTGTTGACGGCTGTGTTCACGTAGCCTTTCGTCTTGTTCCAGAATCCGATCTATACACACGGCGTCATCGTTAGTTTCAAACGTTCTAAAGTTCAGAGATCCCCCCTCAGTGAGGTCAGACAGGAGGTATCACAGATGAATGTTGAAAGCCAGAACACAAGAAAAAATCACAGGGAGGTTTATTATCAGAGGAAGTCTGTTCGTCATCAGGACGTCTACAACTCTTCGAGTCAACGCCACAGTTAACAAATCCAAACTGTTAGGCTGTTCTGTGCTTCTGTTGAAAACGTGTGGTCGGGCTCAGGTTTAATAATCTGAATCTTATCTTTGATCAGATTCTGGGCTCACTGAGTCAGCTGTTTCTCACTTCCTGTCTCCATGTAGAGCTGCTGTTTGTCTCCATGCAGGATTTTAAAGTTTCTGCTCATTTCAATGACCAGACGCCGGTTCTCCTGCTACTCTTTAGTTTAGCCGCCTTTAAGTCAGATTATTTTACGTCATGGATCTGTCGCCTCTCGTGTTGGTTTTTACCCATCTGATCCACTCTTTTTTTTCAGTAACCATGGCAACACTTCCTGCTCATCCTATTTTATCATCGTTCTATTTGAGAGACGGAACTTTGCACGTCAAACAAAGCTGAAACCAAGCAGAATGAGTTCCTGTCAGCGGGGCGAATCATTCTGGTGGAGTTCAATAGAAAGCTGAGAGTCGGCAGGTTTCCACTCGGAGCTGATTCCACTGATTATTACAACTTTAATCCGAGCGGAGGGAGCTAATTACTGGGAGGAGCTGATGCGGCTAAAACCTGCTGACTTTCAGTCGAGTCATTGAGCTCCAAACCTCTGCTAGAAAGCTGATGGCGGAGGAGGAGCCGTACCTTCCTGGGCCCAATGTGGCTGAGCTCCATCACAGTCAGGGTGTAGTTGGTCCGATGGCCCCGCTCATCAAACTGGACGTGGCCCGTCAGACCTTTGAGACGAACCTGCAGGAACAGAGTCCTGCTAAACATCTCCTTTACCAGTAGCTGGCCAGAGCAGATTGGTGTCCTTCTGAACATCAACTCATTGGAAATGTTTTAGACTTCAAATGCCCAAGCAAGAACAAGCGTCATTGTTTAATTATGGTGGAGAGTTTAGCTAGCTGCTCCTGTGGTGGTTCTGTACCTGCTGCAGGGCCCTCTGTATATCGATGCCTTGTCCCCACGGAGCCGGTGGATTGGCTAGACACTCGCCAGCATTGCCACGGCGAGAGATGTCAATCCGCTGCTGACGAAGGTTCTGGAAGGCCTTGGCCATGACGTTGACGCCGTCGTAGGTCAGAGCTCCGGTGTACTGAGGGACCAGAAACAAGAGGAGTTATAATGTTGATCTAGTTCTGTAAGACAGAGACAAAAACTGGGAATACAAAAAAACATGAACAAAAACAAGAAGAATTTTTAAAATCAAGGTTTCACAAGAAGAAAAACATGCTTAAAAATGTATTTTATTTTAATTTGGTCAAATTCTCCAAGTCCTACAGCAGCAGAAACTCGCGCCGCTAACGTGTTAGCGATCCGGCTAGCTGGGAGTGTTGCTCTGGACTACTTCCTGTTTTCAGTGACACGCCCCCGTTTGAGTGACTTGCTCACCTTGAGTTTCTTGCGAATCAGTTTCAAGTCTTTGCTGTCGAAGCTCATCCAGTCTTGGTTTATTTTCTCCACAACCGGGTCGGACCGGTCTACTAGCTGGAAGCCCGTCACATTCGGTGCCAGCTTTTGGAGCTCCGTCACATTCAGGTCCAGGAATCCCTAAAACACACACACACACACACACACACACACACACACACACACACACACACACACACACACACACACACACACATGCACACACGTATGCACACCCGCGCACGCACGCACACACGCACGCACACACGCACGCACACACACACATGCACGCACACACACACACACAAATGCACGCACACACACATGCACGCACACACACACACACAAAAGCACGCACACACACATGCACGCACACACACACACACACACACACACACACACACACATGCACACACGCATGCACACCCGCGCACGCACGCAAACACGCACGCACACACACACATGCACGCACACACACACACACAAATGCACGCACACACACATGCACGCACACACACACACACACACACACACACACATGCACACACACACACACACACACGCACACACACACGTGCGCACACACACACACACAAATGCACGCACATGCGCGCGCACACACATAAACACACACACGCACCCGTGCACACACACACACACACACACACACACACACACACACACACACACACAGACACTGCTGTTTGACTCGTTTCAAGTAAATAGACCGATCCTTCACCATTACAGGGTTAACAGTGCTACACACACCCTAGAATAAGACAAAACTTTTGACGTTCATTGAAGAAGAAACTAAATAAATGAAAATGACTAACAGAAAGTCAACTTTTTAACCAGCTGATGACCTTTGACCTGAGCCTGTGGCTCCGGGCCCTTCTGCTAATATTCCAGACGTTTGGCAGCTTTTACTCACCAGGTTGACCAGGATGAAGTGGTAGTTCTTCAAGTTTCTCTTCTGAGCAGCAATCTGAACAAAAGAGGGAGAAACGTTAAGCTAACGCCACTTCAGATCCTCCTGATGGCGATGAAGAGCCTCCATCGCTCCTCTGTCCAACGGGTTCTGATTGGACGACTCAGCTCGTCTTTGAGACATTAATTACTCTTCATCATCATCAGAAACAGGAGGAAGGGTGAGGGAGAGGACTTCTGAGTCAACCGACAGGAAGGAGAGGCAGAGAGAGGAGCAATGGTGGCGGAGAAAGAAGCAGGTGTTGGTGGTTTCTCTCCTCTCATGTCCAGGTTTTAATGAGCATCAGTTGGTAAATGTTCACAAACAGCTGCTCCTCCTGAAAGAGGAAGCTGTTTAACACCCCCTCCTCCTCCTCTTTTACCTCCTGCTTGCTTCTGTGGCTCAGATTTCACAAATTAAAACCGTAAATTCAAAAAGTCTTCATACTTTACTCCTGACTCAATGAAAGAACGTGTAAAGCATCTAATTTCGCTGCTTTCTGACAGATTTGTGTCTCTTTTACCTCAGGGAGAAGAAGATGAGATGTTTGAGTGTTTCCAGCAGCTGCTGGCGTGTTTTTTACACTCTGACAGAAATGACTCGTGAACCTTTGATCTTAACATCCAGCTTGTCCCCACCGTGCCCATGGACCAGGACAAGTCGGGTTCTGGGATGATCAGCACGACTCATCGGTTTGTCAGAGATGTAACCAACCAGAGCTGATCTGAGCACCACCTGAACAAAAACCAAACACCCGATCCGACCGGCACCTGGAGCTCTATCTGACGGCTGGTTTCAGGCCACGGCGCTAAGCAGACGTCTTGTTTTTGCTCACGTTGCTGCCAGTCGGTGTCACTAACCTGGACCAGCAGCTCTGAGCAGAGAGGAACCAGGACCTGCAGAAGGTGCATCCATGTTTGTGAGCACCAGTGCGTAGGGAGAGCTCCACACGGGGACGGGTCTTAAGATGACATGCTTACCAGAAACGTGCCTCTGGGAAGAAGCCTACACTTTCTGCAAAGCACGTGTCAAGGAGGAGCAGATGGGTAACCCAGCGAACTTCTCCATCTCCTCCTGGAGATCCCAAAGTGCTCCCAGACCAGAAAACACAAATAAGCCCTCCAATAAGTTCTAGATCTGCTCCAGGGTCTCCTCCATCCTATCAGAACTGCCTTAGCCGACTCTTATCGATGAGGATGATCATCTCTACTGTGAGCTCCTCCTGGATGAAGGAGCTCCTCTCCAAGACCGAGTCCAGCCACCCAATAAAACAAGATTACGTCTTCCACTTGGATCTAGAACCTGGTTCTCTGAGTTCTGATCCAAGTCTCATGACCTTGTGTGAAGGTTTACATGGGTAGGTGGTCCAGGTGGACTGGTCCTGTTAGTCCAGCTGAACACTTTAAGGACAGGAGGGGTTGATGGGAGTTTGAGACGATAGGGATGACATGAATGGTGGAAGGCATCCTTTCAGGAATGATCAGTTCGTTTACAGCTTAACAGGGGTGGGAAACTGCGGTCCGTGAGGGCCGCTATCTGACATGTTTTCCTTGTTTCCCTGCTCAGCAGCTCGCCGGGCTCTGCAGAAGCCTGTTAATCAGCTGCAGATGAAAACCAGGTGTGTTGCAGAAGGAAAAAGCAAAACATGCCGACTCTAATGGGCTCCTAACAGCTGGCAGACAGCAGCCACAAAAGGCTCGGAGATGAAGAAGTGATGGCTTTTATTCACATGTGCAGAATGCCACCGCTGTAGACAGCTCGCTCATTTTTCAGTCCTCTCGTTTAGTAATGTTCAGAAGAAACTCATCACAGTTCATACATGAGGTCCAATTAATCTGTGTCTGCCATCTGGTTCTGAGTCCGGCTGCGCTTCTGCACATCACCGCCTCGTCTCCTTCTGGATTTTCTAACCGGGTCGGCTACAGGACGACGAGCTGTAAACGTGACGGACACATTCCAAACCAAACCAAACCAAAAACTGACTTTTTTATTCCTAATTTACCATAAAAAAGATGTTTGTTTTAAAGTTTTTATCTTTGCAGAAACTTTCTTTACTTCTGAGCCACGTTCAGGTTTTAGTCAGCGACCCACTTAGTGATGTCAGCGCCACAAACACTCCGCTTCAGACGGACGTTTCTGGGGTCAACTATGGTGCTTCACAATCAGGGGTCACTGAGAGCAACTTTGAGCCGTACGAGGCTACCAGGTCGATACGAAAGTGACCTTTGAATAGATCAGAGTTGAACTAAGCAGAGAAAAGGCCCGTTAGAACCGTGTAGGGTTCCTGGGGGCACCGGGTCAGTGACCCCTAATCTAGATGTTTCTGGAAAACTTTTAAAGCAGGCGATGAGGAGACCACTAACGCTCACACATGACGAACACATTCATCCTCTGGCAGGGTTAAACGTCCAGAACCAAACTTTCTTTAACCAAATGTTCAGTATGGGTGAGTGACAGATTTACCAGGTTGAGGATGTAGTTGAGGTGCTCCAGTTCACAGTCGATGACGATCTGGAACTCCTTCTTGTAGTCGAGGTAAGCCAGCAGCTTGATGAAGGCTGGTTCTGTCTGAGTGTCCAGGTTAACAGAGGTGACCTGCCAGCCACGCTCTGCCGCCGTGTCCAGGATCTTCTGCAGCACTATCAGACCTGAGAACGGCCAAAACAAACTCATCAGTGTGAGTGGCGGTGCATCTCAGGGCTCAGCCATCGGCACCACTAGTTGGCAGGTCATTCAAACCACCTGAGAAGACATTCAGCTACAATCCCACTGACAACCACAGGTATGGAAATCTCACCAGAGCCGTGCAGAGACCTTTGAAGGGGCGGGTGCTCAAAGTTAAAAAAGGGACACATAGAGCAACGTTTTTTAACAGATTCACGATCCAACAAGTTAAAAATTTCAGATAATGAGACCCTTGGTTTCAAACAACATAATGTAAACTAGGAAAAATATGTCATTAAATAAGGTAACATTATTTCATAAACAATTGTTTTAGTTTTGAAAGCTGACTTATGTTACAACCATAGTTTTGCCCCGATCTGAATCCAAGTTGTTTGATTTTTGATTTTCTTCCAATACTGAGTCCTGTTCTGATACCAGGTGGTGATGCAATGCATTAAAAAATAAGTAAAAAATGGAGTAAGTCCCATAGAGCTCCGGGAGTTGACGTCACTTCTCCCAGCATGCAACAGTCAGACAACTCAATCAAACGGAAAATATGGTAGATTCCTGTTGTGCCCCAGGATGCAAAACAGACGCGGACGACATAAGGAAAAGTGCTAAATGTTTGTAACTCTGCTCCTTTTTTCAGAACAACCTAATTTATTCCCAAAATGCTGTTTCCCATTCCAACTTTTTAACACAACACTGAGCTTGCTTTGAAACTAGGCAATGAGACATTTTTAAAAGAGGGCACCCCGATGACATCACCTGGTTTCAGATCTGACATCCTTGAGCGACTGGTAGAAGCAATGTTTTCTTACACTGCTTACCCTGATGATGCCCAAAGAAGTGCTGTAGCACAGGCACTATTTCAATGACTAAGAAAAAAAAAGTTGAAAGTGGACTATTTACAGTTTCACTGTATTTATCATTATTTACTCTTTACATTTTAAAAACTAATTGTTTCAGTATTGAAAAGTTGAATTAAATCTAAATAATTTCAATTTTTGGTTTATTTTTTAGAAAAACATCAAAGAAAGGTTTCAGTTCAGATAAAATAATGAAATTATGAATTTTTCCATAGTCCAAATAGTATAACAAACTTTAAAAATTTGTATGGGAAATGTTGCCTTAATTATTTTAGAGTAATTTTAAACTCAGGTTTTAGTGTAGAAAAAAGGTGAAATTATTAAGTTGTACCTACTCAAAATACTAGTTAGTTGACCAAACTCAAAAAAATTGTTTGGAAAATCTTGACTTAATGTTTTGGAGTAATTTGAAAGACACAAGTTTTAGGGTACAAAAAAGGTGAAGTTAAAGTTTGACCTAGTCATATTGCGGGTTAGTTGACCAAACTTACAAAATTTGTTTGTAAAATGTTGCCTTTTTTTGAGTAATTTGAAAGAAACAGTATTAACAGTGCAGTGGTTTGTATTTAGTATTTATGTTTATCAAAGTCTGTAAAAATGCAGCTTGAATGAAAAAAAAATTGAACTCTTTACATTTATTACTAAATAGGAACCTCAAAAGGACTTGGTCAAACTATTTCAAATGAACAGTTTAAACTCAGTGTAAACTTTTTCTATTTTCTAAATTTCTGACTGCAGCCCTGTCTGTGACCACAGGTCTATGCTCTGGTTCAGAGAATGGCATAAAGTAAAATAAATATTAGGTAACATAAAATATCACTCACACATCACAACTGCATGAAAATTTCCACCAGCATTATAGTTATTGATAAGCCAGATAAAAAGTAATAATAAAAGGTGAAATCCAAACATTTCATGACAAAAAGTCAACTAATAAAATTCTGCACAGATATAAAATTTTATTTTCAGCTAAATAAATTTTTATTGTAAGTATAAATAATGCTGGAATGAAGCTGAATCTTACATTTAGTAAATAGCTGATAAATCAAGTTTGACAGAAATCAGTCCCTCATGTCACCAGGAACTTCTGGGACACCGTGTTGTTCTCTGCTCTCCCGTCGCGGTTCGCTCCATTTCCTGTGATTCTGAGAAGCTGGTTTCCCTTTAATAGCGAATTTCTGAGTAGCATGAATGGCATCATGTTCGTTTTATGTGCTTTTTGAAACCGTTGGAATTATTTTAATTCGATTAGCCTTTCAGAAGTTATCACGCGGAGAATCTCTCGTGTCCTCTTTTCTGTCTCAGACATGCTGATTCTGCTCAATCCGCACTAACCATGGACTCAAATGTTAATGTAAACAAAAGCTCTGATATTAAAATCCATCCAGCTGACGCGATGCAGGCAGAATAAAAAACTCACAGCTAGATGAGCGCAGACTCCTGCCGAAAAGCGAAACACCGGTTTCAGTCGTGTCCATGGTGACAGGTTTAGAACGACAGCAGAGCTAATCAGTGAGCTTGTGGGTGGGTCTAAGGGTTCAGCTTGAGGAGGCCGCCTCCACATGGTCCTAGTGCCTGACCTGTATCCAAGTATGACAGTTTTGGACAGTAAAATCTGATGGAAGACCAAAAAAAGGGCAGAAAAAGTCGCCCATGTGGGACCTTTATCACCTCATCCTCAACTTCTGCAACGCTGCCTCGTTTGGTGTAGGTAAGGCCGTAGCTCGACTGCAGCTAGACTCTTGGACGGCAACATAAGCTTTGGACATGTGACACCACTCTAGGCTGCTCTCCATTGGTTTCCTGTAGATTTTAGAGTTGGTTGAAACTTCCTTTAACGGTGTTGAAGGCGCTGAATGGACTGCTCCAGCCTCTTTGACGGATAGTTGCAGCCATAAGCTCCGGCTCGGACACCATTTTGAGAACCAGCTGCTGCTCCTGGCCCCCATGGCTCGGCTCAAGTGAAGAAGGGACAGGGTGTTCTCTGGACCGACACCGTGGAGCGCTCTGCCCAACATTGATGATCCAGTCAGGATCTGGAGCAGCAGGTCAGGGTGAACTACAGAGGTCTAGAAGGACCAACGCTGGTGATGTGGACCATCTACAAAGGTCATGTACTAATGACTTCAATTCCATTTTAGGTTCTTTTTTAAACACAGGAAAGGTTTCTCTTTACCTCGCTGACGTGCGTTTCGTTTGCCGACTGCAAAACATCCTCAGAGCTGACGCTGATGGTGCCTTCACTTTCTACTCCGTTTATCTGCGAGCAGCAGAGGACGTTGTCGCCCCCTGCTGCCCGATCTCCCCTCTCTCGCAGACACTAAAAATCAATGAACCCTGGTGATCTGATTACAGGAAAATAACTCAGACCTGAACCACTTTCATTATTCACAGATGAGAAAAAGCCTCTTTTGTTTAAGTTAAAATCTTCTGTTTGTTTTCTGCGGATGAAACAAGAATCTGAATCTTTGTATTTTACTGGACTCTCCATCTGTGTAGCTGCTGGTGGATCTCGCTGATCCGTTCCTGGTTTGTTCGCAGGAATTACTCCTCACCTGGGAGGCCGAGGAGGATCAGGCGGAGTCTCTAACAGGTTCTCTTCTAAGAGTCTGACTCGTGATTTCTGCTAAGTGCCTCGGTCCGGACTCAACCCTGGAGGATGTGTTACAGCCTGAGATTTGTGTGTGTGTGTGTGTGTGTGTGTGTGTGTGTGTGTGTGTAAATAACACATGATGACAAATTGTCTCAGAGGATTTTGCTCTTCTCTTTATATTCCAGACGTTTGTGTGCTTTTACTCACCAGATCCATAATTTAAAGTGTGTGTGTGACCTCACACACACACATACACACACACACACACACACACACACACATTCATACTGGATCTGACAGTTCAGTGGCGTAGCCAGATCTTTTAAACTGGGGTGGCACCAATGATCATGCTTTATCTTTTTTACCCCAAGCGTTTTGTGGACAAGTCTATTTAAAGGAAATTCAGTGGGATGCCCAATCAGATTCCAAGGGTGGCATGTGCTACCCCAGGCCACCCCCTAGACACACCCCTGTGACAGTTAATTATAACGAAGAAGGTTTAGTTAGACCCCCCGCTGAGCGAGAACCCCCAGCGTCAGCCACACACACACACACACACACACACACACACACACACACACACAGAGAGAGAGAGAGAGAGAGAGAAACAAAGAAACACTAAAACATTCATTAGTTTTGTTCTCCAGAGGAAACAGAAATCAGAGGTCCGTGGTTTCTGCTCTCTGCTGCTGAATCTGTTTCTGGTTCTTTAGTCAGAAAGCTGGTTTGCCGTCCTGCTGAACAACCACAGGAGAGCTGACGCCTTGCTCAAAGGCACCTCCCATTCAGTCACATAGTGAAGAACATGTAAAAGCTTTTCCAGGCCTCTGGGTGCTTTAAAACAGGAAGATGGGGTAAATAAGTGATGAGGTCATCGTCAGACTTTGAAGGTGCAGTACCCACCTCGCCCATCTACTGAGGGGGCGCCATAAGTTCATTGAGCAAAGATGACCATGAGTTGAACCAATAGTAGAGGAAGAAAGAGCAACAGACTCTTGGGGGAGAAAATGAGGAGGCTAGTTGTATAATCTGATTAATTAATATGTCAACAATAACGAGGTTTTCAAACTCAAACAGGCGTTCAGTGAGCTACAAACACAAGAGCATACACAACTCACCTTTGTGCAGACAGGAAGTCTGAGATCACCAGTTAGAGCAAGAGCTAGTCTAATTCATGTTATCCTCCCATAGATAAAGCTTCTGGTCTTCCAGAAGGTAGAAAAACACCAAAGGACTCATAAGTAAATGTCAGAGTACTTAAAGCCATCCTGGCCTCCAGGTTCTGGACAATCAGCCTTTTCTACTTCCTGTTTTGTTCAGATTTTGGTTTCTGATTCAGGAGAATCTCCATAGTTACAGGTGACGATGTTCGACCACCTGAAGAATAACAATCCACGCTGGCTGGAGTGAATACAGACGAGGCAGAAGAAGAAGAGAAACAGGATGTTTGGAGGAAATTACAACCGTACAGTTTGGGCCGAGGACAGCATTTTACAGGTCTATTTCCCATGGTAACAGGATGGAGCAGCAATTATGAGAAGAGTCAGAGTCGATACGTTTTTTGTGAGTTAAAGGTCAGAGTGGGATGACAGGATCTCACACACACACACACACACACACACACACACACACACACACACACACACACACACGGGACTCACCTGAGTCAGAGCTGTACATGTAGACAAAGCGGGTCCAGTAGAAGTGGTCCAGCAGGGCCATGAGGGGCTCCTGCAGCTGGGGCCGCAGCTGCAGCACAAACTGGTTATTGGTCTGAACGGGGAAGGACGGCGTGACGAAGCACACATGTAGAGAGCTGCAGAAGGACATCAGCATGTTGACCGTGCGCCGGTCGTACAGACCCATGATTGCGTACACGCCCTTAGAGAACTGGGAGCAAACTGGGAAGAGAGCCGGAGAGGACCCGGATCAGAACAACGGACAGACACTCATCTCAGGAACAGAAATGAGATCATGTTTAACTTAATGAGGAGCGAACAAAATCAGCAGTCATCACTCAACAACGTCTTTATTTGTGCATTCATTAGAATAATCTGGTTTATTTGATAGAATATCCTCATCATCACATTTATTTCTAAAGCACTTCCCTACACACCAATCAAAGTACAAACATTTAAAGGGCTCATGTAAACTCCACGTTCAGAGTTTTTTCTTCATGGCTGCATTTTCCTGTTTCAGCTGAAAAATGTTGTTTTATTTTGAAAAGCTTGCAGGAGCCTTGATGGAAACTGAGTGCATCACCAGGCCCTGCTCCCCCTGAAGCTGGCCTCTGATCTGGAACCCGCCTCCCCTGGAAGTAAACGACTCATGCCCACCTTCTCAGAGTTGCAGTATTTGAGCAGCTGATCTGATGTTGTAGTGACCTTCGTGTCACAGATGACTTCTTTAATCCTTCACCGCTACTAGAGCGGATATTCTGTCTAACTACTGTTGCATTGGGGACAAAACGCTACCGTAAAAACCAGGAGTCTTTTTCTTAAAGATGTCGGGGGACTTTGGGTTGGCCTCTCAAGTCTCTGGTGCTGAGGTCACTGAGGTGGTTAAAAAGCTCCTCTGTGGCAAGGCTCCAGGGGTGGATGAAATCCTCCCGGAGTTCCTTAAGGCTCTGGATGTTGTGGGGCTGTGTTGGCTGATGCGGCTCTGCAATATCGCGTGGACATCGGGGGCAGTCCCATTGGACTGGCAGACCGGGGTGGTGGTCCCCTTATTTAAAAAGGGGGACCGCAGGGTGTGTTCCAACTACAGGGGGATCACACTCCTGAGCCTTCCTGGTAAGGTCTATTCAGGGGTTCTGGAGAGGAGGGTCCGTCAGATTGTTGAACCTCAGATTCAGGAGGAGCAATGTGGTTTTCGTCCTGGCCGTGGAACACCGGAACAGCTCTATAACCTTAGGGGGATCCTGGAGGGTGCGTGGGAATTTGCCCAACCAGTCTACATGTGTTTTGTGGATTTGGAGAAGGCGTTTGACCGCGTCCCTCGGGGGGCCCTGTGGGGGGTACTCTGGGAGTATGGGGTACCAGGCCCTCTGATCCGGGCTGTTAGGTCCCTGTATGACCGGTGTCAGAGCTTGGTCCGCATTGCCGGCAGTAAGTCGGGCTCGTTCCCAGTGAGAGTTAGACTCCGCCAAGGCTGCCCTTTGTCACCGATTCTGTTCATAACCTTCATGGACAGGATTTCTAGGTGCAGCCAAGGTGTGGAGGGCATCCGTTTTGGTGGCCTGAGGATCAGGTCTCTGCTTTTTGCAGATGATGTGGTCCTGTTGGCTTCATCAGAACGTGATCTTCAGCTTTCGCTGGAGCGGTTCGCAGCCGAGTGTGAATCAGCTGGGATGAGAATCAGCTCCTCTAAATCTGAGACCATGCTCTTGATTCGGAAAAGGGTAGAACGCCTTCTCCGGGTCAGGGATGAGGTCCTGCCCCAAGTGGAGGAGTTTAAGTATCTCAGGGTCTTGTTCACGAGTGAGGGAAAACTGGAGCGTGAGATCGATAGACGGATTGGTGCTGCATCTGCAGTGATGCGGGCGTTGTACCGGTCTGTCGTGGTGAAGCGAGAGCTGAGTCAGAAGGCGAAGCTCTCGATTTACCGGTCGATCTACGTTCCTACCCTCACCTATGGTCATGAGCTTTGGGTAGTGACCAAAAGAACGAGATTGCGGATACAAGCGGCCGAAATGAGTTTTCTCCGAAGAGTGAGCTTGGTCATTCAGGAGGGGCTTGGAGTAGACCCGCTGCTCCTCCACATCGAGAGGAGCCAGTTGAGGTGGCTCGGGCATCTGGTCAGGATGCCTCCTGGACGCCTCCCTGGTGAGGTTTTCTGGGCACGTCCAACCGGGAGGAGACCTAAAGGGAGACCCAGGACATGGTGGAGGGACTGTGTCTCTCACCTGGCCAGGGAACGCCTTGCGATTCCCCCGGAGGAGCTGGCCCAAGTGGCTGGGGAGAGGGAAGTCAGGGCTTCTCGCCTTAGGCTACTGCCCCTGTGACCCGACTCCAGAAAAGCGGATGAAAATGGATGGATGGATTATTATCATATACTGTGTCCACCGTTGCTCTCATAGGTAAAGTTTTCTGTTCACCTGTAGATGGCAACGACAACCAGAGATGATTAAAGCAACTTTTATCCATTTATCACTAAATAATGTGTAAAATTAGCAGGATTATAACAAGATCATTTTAAAATCTATTGTTTGCTTCTGGACCAGTTGACCGGCTGTTTGAGCCGCGGTAAAACCGAGTGTGATGTGAAGCTGTAGACTCGCTGTAGATATAAAGCAGTATTAGGAACTTCTGTGGAATACTGTCTCCAGGTTTTCCTGGTTTTTCCAGAGTTTGATGGACACATTATTTATTTATTGATCCATGTTAATCTGCATCCTTTTCTCTCTTATTCTAAACAGACTCATGTTGCAGATTTCAGGGTTAAAATCAGCGGTAATCTGTTTCCGAGTTTACAAGGCTATAATCCCAGCAGCAAACGCCGTTCAGCCATGAGAAGGTGGCGTGTCCTTATCGTCACGATAAACAGATGTTGGTTTCTGCTGCAGATTTATCTGCAGCTGTGTCGCTGATGATGTGCAGCTCCTGCTTGCTCACAGAAGGCTTCCTCACAGTAAATCCTCTTCCTCACAATGGCTATAATCAAATTACTCTTCATGCAGAGCTCCTTCAGAGCCAGGGATTAACTCAAAAGACAAAATAATGCTCACAGCTGAGTCACCCTCTCACTCTGATTTTACACTCCTTTTTGTTTCAGACTGAGTGGAAATGCGTTTGCAGCACAAGAAGCATCCTCTTGTTTTCAAAAGGATCCAGAACATCTGTCCACAACTGGCCCGATAGCTGTCAATCAAACAGACCCTCATTTAAATTGTAATGCTTCCATGACATAAACTCTAAAACCCTGAAGGTCAAAACAACCACAGCATTTCTGTCAGTCCTCCCTTCAAAGTAAAAGCAGACGTCTGTGATGGTGTCTGCAAAAGTAATCTTTCATGGAAATACTCCAGATGTTGATGTTTCTTTACCAGAAACCTCCTGATGTGCCTTTAATCTGCACACAGAAAACATTTTCAACATTTATTCAGATTAAACATCAACATGACTTTTAAAGTGTTTGATCTCAATTTATTGGATTTGTTCTGACCTTTTCTTGTTTTAGCCGACTCGGGTCACTTCCTGTCAAAGCTGCAGGGAGCTGTGAGTTGTTGGGACTCATCCTTAATGACTCGTAATAAGGTCAGGTCCTTTAAAAAAGCCACGTCCATCTGGACTGACCCAAAACGTCCCCTGAAGGCGAGTTTGTTCTGCTCCAGTCAAACCACAGCAGCTCTCTGACATGATGAAGAAGCGATCGGATCAAAACAAACTCATAAACAGAGTCTGAGTGTGAGATCTTCTTTCATGACATAGAAATTGTCCACCAGCAGATGTTTCTGTTGTGAAGGCAACCCAATTCAACAAGGCCACCAAGTCAACTTTAGAGAAACGGACCCACACCCTGGTTGCCATAGATACGGTCACCCCATCACACATGGCTAACAAATGTTGCAAAGGTTTTATGATTTTACGTGAACTAGCACCGAAGCATTGCAGATGCCTTGACGTGTCAATAAATAGGCATAAATATGGAGCTTTTCTTCACCCGTGTGTTTCCACTACAGGAAACTGGGCCAAACTGTATCTTCATTGGTAAATAAAAAAGATTTTATTCTATTTCCAGGAGCCAACAGGTTGTGTCTTTAGAGGCAGAATCATGTTTTCAGGGGATTATTTGGGCCATTTTTAAAGAGCAGATAACACCTCACGTAACTTTATTTTCTGATAACCTGTGCAGATGAGTGTCTAATGGTGCTGTACACACGTGTAATCATTAGTGTGGCAGTTTAGTGCAACTTACTTTAAGTATAATATTTCAGCCCAAAACCATAATTCTATCTCCATCTTCAGGTTAAAACTCTGCTCCACATTCATGTAGAACCAACTGTGGCTGATGGCTAAGCTGAAAAACGTGATGTCAGCAGATTACTACGTGGCTGCACCGCCCTAGTCTCCAGGTGAGGCAGCCGCATCTCCACCTGGCTCAGCCACTCACCTGCCGACATGACACGATGGCACTCTGAGCCACTCACCTCCTGGAAGAAAAATGCCCGCCTCCCCTTTTCACCTAATGATCGCGTTTGACAGGAAATCCTCCAGAATGCTGCAGAATCTGTCTGCTCTTGTTATGGAAATTTTATATTTCATTACATTAGACCTATTAACAAATCTATTAACTGAATGTCCTGAAAGCCCACACACACACACACACACACACACACACACACACACACACACACACACACACACACACACACACACACACACACACACACATTCTTGTCCTCCCATACATACATACCGTAAATCCTCTAATATTGGCCTGTATTTAATTAACTGCCGGGCATCACATTTTGGCCGGTGTCGGAGTCGGCGGAGGTGAATAATGGCCGTTTTTTTAATTGTGGCCGGGTGGAATGTGGTAACAAGCAAGTACCACAGGGGGGGGCAGTCGTGTCATCCGTCTCACCTTTGATTTGCCAGTGATGGTCCGCGAGGGTAACTTTAACCATGGCAGGTGCGGAGATGAAGAGGAGGCGAAAATTTGATATCAAGTTCAAAGAGAACGTGCTGATTATGCTGCAGAACACTCTGGGGAGCAGTAGCAGGGGTTTTATGAACTAGTCGACTAGTGGACTTCACTGCTCTATAGTGACTTTTTATGCCTGTCATCAACTAGTCGCTGTCACGTGATAATGACCGGCAAGATGCAGTCCTCGGAAAAGACAGCAGCCTGTTGTCAGCAGGTGACGAGCTCCTGCGCGTCGGGAGGCAACGCGCTGTGC